GGTGGCGCAGGGCGGCGGTGTGGACGAGCTCTTCGACGTGCGGAACCTCTTCTACCTCGGCGCCTTCCAGGCCGCCATCAACGAGGCGCAGCGCGCCAAGGTAGCGCGGCCCCGGGGGGAGCCCCGGCCGGGAGCCCCGGCCCGCGGCGGCAGCTCCGTGCGGCTTCGAGTCACATCTCTCGTTCCCCCCTCAGCCGTCCGGCCCGGAGAAGGAGACGGAGCGGGACGTGTTCCTGTTCCGCGCCTACATCGCGCAGGTGAGGCGGGAGGCCGTTACCGGCGGCGTCCGGGCCAGTCCTACCCGAGTCCTCCTCTAGAGGTGCTTCTTTACCTTTATAAAAACGTGCAGGGAAAATCCTCCTTTATATGGTCTGTGAAATCCTGCTGTGCTTGGGGAGCGTGATGGGAGGTATAAAGTAGCGGTTTTCCTAGTTCTTATAGACCAAACCCTTGTGCCTGTTGTCTGAAACCTCTGCATTTTGTCTTTAATAGAGGAAATATGGCGTTGTTCTGGACGAAATTAAAGCCAATGCTAGCCCTGAGCTCCAAGCAGTGAGAATGTTTGCAGAGTATCTTTCCAACGAGAGTCAAAGGTAAGCGTGGTAATAAGTTACAATGCTCGAATGCTGTCTGTCAGGGAATGTCCTTCCCTGTGGGAAGTTTCCAGGGGGAGTGTGTTGTGTCTGTGCACTCTGCTGTCTCGTTCTGCAGTGAATCACCCAAAAGTGGATTTTTAAGGGGTTGAATCTTTTTGCATTTTTTTTTTAGTAATGAAATAACCCCAAATTCATACTGTTGCTCTTCTCAGGGATGCAATTGTTGCCGAGCTGGACAAAAAAATGGCCAAAAGCGTTGATGTGGCTAACACTACGTTCTTGCTGATGGCCGCTTCCATCTACTTCCACGACCAGAATCCCGACGCGGCTCTGCGCACCCTGCACCAAGGGGAGAGCCTGGAGTGGTGAGTGCGGCCGCGCGGCGCCGTTAGCAACGGCCCTGTTATCCAGGCAGGGTCCGGATCGTCTCCAAAAAGCTTTGGAGCCCTTGGGAAGCTCTGTGGAGGATTGCCCCCTAAGGAATAAGTGGCTTGGAGCTTGTCCTATAAAGGGTATCAATCTCTAGCAATACTTAAGAATAGTGCATATTCAGGGTTGCTGAACGAGCATCATGACCCTACAGCAACGGAATATTTAGGAAGCAGGAGCGAGCTTCCCTGTTCTTTGTCCCGGTGATTGTTCTTCCTGCTTTGTTGGTTTTCCTGCTGCAGGAAGACGTGTCCGTAGTGACTGCTGACATGTCCCTCTGCTATGCAGCAGGTTCCCCAGCAAAGCGTAGGGAGCAGTAAAGCCCCCAGCTGAGTCTGCCTTTGTTCTTGCAGCATGGCAATGATGATACAGATTCTCCTGAAGCTCGACAGGCTGGACCTGGCCCGGTAAGTGTGTCCCTTGGGTGCACCCCTTTGTTTTTAAGCAGTGTTCTTGCAGTGGGTTTTTAAAAAAGAAATAGTAATAACAGCCCTTGATAAGGGAATTTTGGTCACCTAGCAATGCTTTAGCACCCGCAGCGGGTGGAATAAGCTGTGTGTGGCTGTGGATGCTCTGTGCAATATCCTTGTTCTCCATGATGCAGGAGCTTTGGGGGTGATAAAGCTAGATACAGGTAAAGGAAGAACCTCTCCCAGGCCTAAGTTCATGTGTTCTACATTGTGGTTCGAAGCCCCAGCCCTGGATTATTGTCTTCATTAAACAAGGTTAAATGGGGAGGGAACACTGTTCCACCGGTTGTTATTTCATCAAAATATAAAAGCTTTGGGCCACGTTACCAGGTTTCTGTGGCCGTTGTGCTACAAGGATAGACAGAGGACACTGCAGCCTTTTGTGTGTACCTGAAAGAACTCTAGAGGATCCAGTGTGTTTCTGCTACCCCTCCTGCTTTTGCTTCTGCAGCAAGGAGCTTAAGAAGATGCAGGAGCAAGATGAAGATGCGACTCTCACTCAGCTGGCCACTGCCTGGGTGAACATAGCCCTGGTGAGTGTCCTGGGGAGGGATCCCCAGCACACAACAGCTCAGCAAACACTGTCCGCTTCAGAACCTACTTTTTGGTGGAAACATCAACCTTTTGATGGTTTAAGTGACTCTTGTTGCATCCTGTTCCTTTCACCCGCAGTCTCAGAGTGATCTCCTGTGTGTAGCAGAGCAGTAGCTCATTTGTCTCCCCTCTGCAGGGTGGTGAGAAGCTGCAAGATGCCTATTACATCTTCCAGGAGATGGCAGATAAATGCTCCTCCACCCTCCTCCTGCTGAATGGACAGGCAGCCTGCTATATGGCCCAGGGCAAGTGGGATGATGCAGAGGGGGTCCTTCAGGAGGCCCTGGACAAGGTATCTTCTGTTTTGTAGGCAGGTTGGTTCGAATTTAAACACCTTCTATAGGCACGTGGAGCAAAATAACAGGGACCTGCTTCATGAAAGCCTTGCCAAAGCTTGTACTGTTACTGCCAATCTTCTCTTCTGCTTTGCCTTCTCCAATAAAGTGAGTTAGGAATTTGGTGTTTTTTGCAGCACTGTGCAAGCCCTTAAAACTAATCACAGTAGAGGTTAAGTCCAATAAGCAGGTGATTATTTTGTTTTTCAGGACAGTGGCCATCCTGAGACGCTGATTAACCTTGTTGTCCTGTCACAGCATTTGGGCAAGCCACCAGAGGTGAGACTTCCCTAATGACCTCGGGGAGCAGAGTCTGGTGAACCTGTCCCTGCTGTGGAAGTACATGGGGGTACATTGTGGAAGTAAATTTCTGTACTTGAGAGGAAGGTCTGGGTGGAAAATTAGCTCCCGCAGTGTGTGTCCTGTTTTCACTGACTGTTATTTTTGTCTTGCTATTTAAGGTCTACTTTAAAGTGTGGGGTTTCTACAGTTTCACTGCTTTTACTTAGGGCTATGAGCATTGCAAATCATGTGAAAATTAGATCATAACCCCTGAAACTGGGTTTACTCGAGTGTCTTGTTTTAAATGTTGACTTTTTTCATCTTAATACTTACATTTCCCTATCTCATCCCTTCAGGTAACAAATCGCTACTTGTCACAGTTGAAAGATGCACATAAAAATCATCCATTCATAAAGGAGTATCAGGCAAAGGTACTAGTCGCTTCTAAACGTAAAAATGGATTTATTGTGGTGCTGCCCTGGTGTCTGATGGAACAAGGAGATTCTTGGTTAAACATGATTACAGTTTTGAGAGGGGCAAGTCTGTTCTTCCTCTGGTGTCATGAGAGATGTTGGGAGATGCTGGCCAGAGGTGAGACAAGGAGGGAGGTACCTGAACCTAGTGACATCTTGAAATAATAGTTCTGTGATTGGAATTCTTACCATCAGGTACACTTAAATAGGAGGGACATCCTTCTAAAAGACAACTTGGAGAGGAAACAGGAGGGTAAGGATAATAGGAAAGGGGAATAGAACAAATGAAAAAAAAAATGAGAACAACTTGATAGAGACAGTTGAGCTTTTTAGAATTTTTTATGCCTTAATAAAATGGGATCGTGTCTCTGGAGCTCAGTGGTGGTGCAGAGCTCATTAAATTTACAGCTGAGCTCCAGCTTTGTTCCTTTTGTTTCTGTTTTTGCCTTGAAGGAGAATGACTTTGAGCGGCTGGTGGTGCAGTACGCGCCCAGCGCCTGAGAGCAGCGCCGGGGCCTGGGAACGGGGCGATGCACGCGGAAAAACTCCCTCTGCGAGTCGGGCTGGCTCATCTCGGCGCAGTCCTGCGCTGCAGGGTGCTCATCTTGTAAATAACTTGTAGCCATTTGAATTTGGTATCTGAGAAGCCTGTGTTCTGACTTGGTTGCGTGTCTTGAACTCGGTTTAAATTACAGTGCGGATCCACAGTTTGCAACACTGTACCTTAAACATTCCTAATAAAGCCTTTTCTGGATCTGTGTGGAATCCAAGCAGTCCCTCTCTGAGCTCGGTCACACGTACTGAGGACGTGTTTGTAGGAAGAATATGAAGCCTTATTTTAAGCCTCTGCCTTCAGTACATGGGTGATTCCTGAATTATGGCTGTTGTTTCAGTCTCCAGTATCCCCTGAAGAAAGGATGTTGTTGGCAAGAGGAAAACGCTTCCCTAAAACAGGATCAGCCATGATCTTAAGGTGGTAAAATCCAGAAGCTCATGTCTAAAACACTAGTTCTTCCCTTAACAAAGAACATCCTGCAGTTGCAGTTGTTGAAGCTGGCCCGTGTTGGAACACAGTGATTCAACATCACGTAAATGTGGTTTTCTGTAGCCTTTGACTTGTGTACGGTGTTTTAGCCAAGTGGCTGTGGTGAGTGAGGGTGTTATATGAGAAATGCAAAGAGCAGATGTCCAAGCGGAGCCCTCAGCTGAGACCTGCCCAGCTCTAATATTAATCTTTGGAGTTGTGCTTGGGGAGGGGAGGGGGTTTATGCTGCACTGTGTGTCTAACTGGCGTTTCCTTTGTGCCCACCTCCCCCGAGGGCTGTGAAAGGGCTCATTGTCCCTCTCCTTGGCTTGTTTAGTAAGCAGCTCCTTCCAGTGAGGGGTTATTCATGGTCCAGCCTTGAATGAATGTTTCCTTTGTAGAGCTGGCCGAGGGAGATGTGAAAGGGGCTTGTGTTTCCCCTGCAGCCATTACCCACTTGATGGGCCATGATAAATTGACTTAAAAATGTAAACAATAAAAGCAAGTGCCATAGTAGGAGCCAGGGCTGTCAGGGTGAGAATAGGGGAACATGTTGTTCAGGCCTCCACCAGGAATGAGCTTGTGTTTCTCACTGATGGCCCAGACCAATTAGAGAAGATGCAGAGAACCTGATGGCAAAAGGGCTCTCCCCAAAGCAGCTGAGATAGGAGCAGTGACTTGTAGGGGGCACAGAGAAAGAGAAAACAGGAACGGACTCTATCACCTTGCGTCAAGGTAGTTCCACAGGTGAGTTTTCCTGAGTGCCTTATGATTCTTTTTCTGTCCCTGCTGCTCCAGAGCTGCCATCCAGCTGCTGGTCTTGGTGCCCTGGGGCACAACCCGACACCCTTTGCCCCTCACGATCAACGCTCAGCTCTCCTCTGCTCCATGGTTCCTGTTGGGCCCTAGCATAACAAAACTTGGAGTTCCAGTATGTGAAGAGGATCTTCATGTTACGCTCGTGCTACTCCTCGCCGAGGCAACGTCCATGTTGGAGTTTTGACTCTGTGTGTGACTATGGGTGTATTGCATTTCATTTTAAAAATACCCGGAGTGTGCTTTGTGTTCCCTCCTGCCAGGAGCACAAACCGCCTGACCGGGGAGAGGGCGTCACGTCGTGCTCAGCTGGGGCTACCCCCTTCCCGAGCCGCTCTTTGCCTTCCCGCAGGTGCAGGGGACCCGCTCCGGTTCCTTTAGGCTTTCAT